ATCTAGAAATTATTCTTTTTTCGCTGCTCAGTGACCTTTTTGGAATTCTGGGAGAGACGGGACCACAACTTCTCCCTAGTCCTTTTTTTGGAGGCAGAGTGACGTAAACGGATGGATCGAATGATTAATTGAGATGTTGTAAGATCGAAAAAAATTGATAAGAAAGCAACGGAAATTTCGGAGCAAAAGAAGGCGTCTCTGGGATATCTGATTTGTGGAAAGAGAGGAAAAAGAAAAAGAAGACCTATATAAAAATTGGCATTTCTATAACGGAGATTATCGAAATTTGAAAAATCAAAACTATGAAAAATACTTTTTTTCTGACAACTTATTTGAATTAGAAATTGAGCATTTTGAAGAATTGAATTCTCATGAAAATTGTCAAATCTCAGAAAATCAAAAAATACGTAAAAGGAAGAAGAACGACACATAGAGATTTAGGCCCATAAATCCTTCAGTCTAGTTTTTAGTTTATTGGATCAGAAGAAGGATGGAAGATCAAATGAGTCTAGAATTTTTCTATTTTGCCCGAACATTCAAAACTTTCAGAAAGACAACTGGAAGATAGACAAAATTGAATTAAAAACATAAATCTAGGATTTTGGAAATTGAAATCGAAATTTTGAAAATTGTTCTATCTGAAAATAAACAAGGATTTTATTCTAATCTTTGACATGAAATATGAGAAATCCTTTTCTTTTCTAAAAAACAGGGTCCAACTGAAAATTGAGAAGAGTGAATGCTGAAAATGAAACTTTTTGAGATCGATTTAGAAATTTTCAGATTTTCAATTTTTTTGGAGTGAACGGTTTAGTTTAAGAAAATTTGGGGATATCTCGAAGTCGGAAAACTTAATTTTCAGAATTTCAGAAATTCAGAATTTCTAAGAAATACAAAAATCAGAAGATTGGAAAATTCAAGATTTCCATGAAACTCGAAAAGCCAAAAATGAAAAAAAAAGCTCCCAAAAAGTTAAAAAATCCAACCTTTAGGATATTCCGAAACTCAAACATTAGAAATCAAAAAAGTTACCGGGAGTTCCTATTTAGAAATTATCGGTCTTTTGCATTTTTCTATAATTATAATTTCTGAAATTTTGCATTCTCAAGATCATAGTCAACTAACTTTTTGGGATTTCCAAAATCTCCTATTCTAAATCTGAGTTACGCCAAAAAATTTGATTTGATAAAAGTAGCGTACAGATATTAAAAAAAAATGATGAGACAACATAAAAAAGGACGGACGTATGGGGTGAAAAAAAGGGGAAAGGATGGGATATGAGGATATACTCAAAGTGATAGAAGAAGACCGAAAGAAGAAGAAAAAGAAGAAGACGTTGGAGTGTGTGTTGTAGGATGAAAAAAAAGACAGCGGGAAGGAAAAACATGGATGAAAACGAAAAAAAAAGAAGAAGAAGAGATAGAAAGTGTGTCGTCTTCTTCTTCTTCTTCGTTTCGACAGGAGCAGAGTCCTACATTGCTGCTCACACATCATGGCTTACAACCAAACGGGAGCTTCTTCTTCTTCTTCTTTTTTGCTCCAAAGCGACAAGGTCCAAAAAGAGAAATAGAGAAAAAATGGGCGGCTATATGGGTGCCCCAGGACCTCTCTCTCTCTCTGTGCATTTCTATACATAAAAACGGAAAGGATGAGATGAAATGTGTGTGTATAAAGATAAATTGCTCCTCTCTATTCGTTTTTTTCTGTGCCCGGTGGGTGCTCTTTTTCTGGATTAAAGAATGTTTTTTCGGGGACTATTAGCTTAAAATGATTTTCGAATATGGATTTTTCTGAAACTTAGATTTTAATAGCTGATTTAAAGTTTCCAGATTGATAATTTCCAAATAATTGGCTGGACCTAGCTATTCGGGATTTGAAAATCAGGTCAAAAGTATTTTCAGAATAAAACAACGTTTTTTAAAGGGACAGTATCTATAAATAAGTTATACAAAAACATATTTTCAGTTAATTTTTTAACCATTTTCAGGCTTCTGGAGCTCGACTGTCACGGTTTGAAACATACCTAGATTAAAAACTTTTTTTTCCGTTTTCACTGCAAAAACAGGTTAAAAATGTGTCTTTCAGAAATCGTCGAATAGCTGGAAAACTAGGATTTTTAATAAAATTCTGTAAATGCAAGTTTTTCAATCTAGATCTGTTTTCCATGCTCAAAAAAATTCAAAATGATCGGAAACTTGAAAGCCATGATCCAGACTCTTGAAAATAGTTAAAATGTGTCGCGGTTTGGGATTGACAAGGGAAGTGTTTTCAGACAGTGGTTGAGAATTTCTTGAAAACTGGTACACATATACCTTCGGACATGGTTAATAACGAGACGACTTTTTTTCGTGCCCCTCGGTACCTAGAAGCTGAAAAAACGCGTCTGAAATTTCACCTCTCAGCGCGATCTCCCCCTTTCTTATACAAATTGTGAAAGCAGTGAGGAACAGCGAGTGTGGTGTACACAGTTCCTGGGCGATGATGCGCATAAAGGACCCGATCCATATGCGATCCTCTAGAAGTCCGTTTGACACATATCGCGAACAACGAGCTGCGATGAGTCTCATATGTGTGCGATGCGGGAGAGGCTGAATCGAGTGTTCCGAATGCGCGTGTATCCTAGATAGATTCTAGGTGGGTGGGCGATGTGTGTGATACCTGTGTAGTGGTGAAGAGGGATGGTGGTAACTGACAAGGGTTAGTTCGATCCCTCTTTTCCCGATTTGTTTTCTGCTTTTTTTCTGATCTTGCTGGAAATCTCAAAGTGTGTCAAAACCTTGAAAAGATTTCCATTCAGATTTTTATTAATTTTGAAAAAAACAATTTTTTTTGACTTGTTTCAAAAAAAACCCAAGAAATCATTTTGAAATTTTCTTGAAGAACTGCTGGAAAACCATCCTTAATCAAATCGTTAGTCAGAACCACCCAGATTTGCTCAGTTTGGATGCGAAACAGTAATAAATTAGTCAGAAATTATGTAAACCTATGTTTTTACAAGATTTGAGTGCTACTGGGTGATTACCGAAGGCCTACGATTCATTAAAGTTTTGAAAGAAAGCACGTATTTGTGATTTCCAGAAATATTTAGAATACCAAATTTCATGAAAAGACTAATTTTATCGGTTCTTTACGTTTAGAAATCATTTTAGCACATTTGAAAATTTTTCAAAAAATTGTGAAAATTTCCAAAGGGGGTCCAAAGGAAAATTTTTTTTTTGAAAAATAGCTGACGTAGTGAGGTGAAGTAAGACGAGGATTGATTCACAATGGGTTTATTATGTACAAGCTGAACACAGGATATGTACATTAGTGAATGGGGGTACTCATAGGAGCGTGGAAGGGAGCAACCGTCCTACATGGCTTCAGGATGGAAGATCTCTGACTAGAACAGGATGACAATTGAACAGTGATTAGATATGTGAGAGACGCAGAGACAAGGAGGGGAGAGAGTGTGGTAATTAGAGAGAGTTGTCTGCTCCTCGTTGGCGGTTGGTGTTCCTCCTTTGGCGCTGGTCCTGTAGAGCAGTCTCAGTGGAGCGCATCTCCTGGTGGGCGAGAGAGTACGCGGTGGTGAGAGACGCAGAATCCTGTGGGCAGCTTGGCACGTCTAGAGGCGTTTCCTTGGTGCAATGAGTGACTGTAGAGCTTGGCAAGTGTGAGTCCGTAAGCTCTATCACACAAGAGCTTATGGGCCACAAATATATCCGGTCGCGGTCCCGTAGGGGGCGCGACACTGGGAGGAGACGAAAAAACCCTATTTATGAGGTTCAACGAAGAAATAGGGTTGGACTGTCTGTCAGACTGACAGGATACATTTGTAACATGTTTAGAGACTCTTGTTAGTGTCTACTTTCTCAGCAACTTCACAAAAGCACCGACGAAAGCTCCTACTAAGGTCGTGCTCCCGTAGGGGGCGCGACAAAATGACCAATGTTTTTGTATATCTTATTACTGTAAAAGTGACAGGAGCAAGCTTTTCGGGATTTGAATTTTTCTGAAAGTTATATATAAAAACACAAATATAAATATTTAACTCTAATGGATTAAATCAGGATATTTGGGAAGATGATGAGGAAGACTTGACCGGAAAACAAGCCACAGGAAAAAGGGATTCGTCATAAATTTTTTTTCAGATTTGGAATGGAAAGGATTACTGAAAGAAACGGAAGAGACGAGGATGCTTGTGCTGCTGCCTATAAATTATGGATGCAGGATTTAAGAGTGGAAAAACGAGAGAGAGAGAGAGAGAGAGGGGGGGATTTGGAAAAAATTGGGGCAATGGATTTATTTGCTCTTTGAGGATTACGGTAGAAGCAGTGAAGCGGAGGTGAGAAAAAAAGATTTTCTGGAAAGTTCTGAATTTTTGAAAATTTCAGCAATTCCTAAAATATGTAAAAGCCACTGACGAGTCCCGAATGTACGTCCCTCAACCAAGTCCAAATTTTGCTTTCAAAAAAAGATTTTTTTTTCGAAAAATTGGATTCTAAAAATTAAAACAGAAGACGAAGCTGATAGAGAATACTTGTGGGTTCCAGAAATTTCCAATAAATTTAAAAAAAATTCAGCGGAAAAATAGTCGGAGGCTTTGAAAACGTTCATGGAATTCAGGATCCAAGGAAAACCGATACAAGACTTTTTGGAAATACAATAATTGTTTATTTTCTGATTTGGAGAGAATCCAAACATCCATATGATATCCATGTATTTTGCATACTTTTAAAGAAAATAATTTTTTGGGGCTTTTTTATTTTTTGAAAAAATTTGCGTGAATTCAGTTTCGGAATTTTTGAAAGTTTTAGAATTTAACCTCCGTGAAGCCCCTTAATAGGGCTGAAAAATAAAAAAGATTCAGAAGAGATGGGAATAAAATCAGTACTCAGTTTTTCCAACGTTCAAGTTCCAGGATTTTCCAGGGGATTTAGGTATTGGGCAACAGTTTGGCAACAGTTGGGGAGCGATTTCAGAGGATCGGGATAGCAAATGGAATCGAAACCAATGGAATGGGTGAGAAATTAAACAAAAATATTAAAAAAATAATTTTGAAATTTAGTTCGAAGCAACTTCTGGACAGTGGATTCGGAGGACCGGGAGACCACAAAAAGGAATTGGAAACGATTTGGCAGGTGAGAAATTAAAAATATAATTTTGAGTAAAATTTTTAATTTAGTTCGAGGCAACTTTTGGACAGTGGATTTGGAGGATCGGGATGTAAACAGGAATTGGAATGTGATAGGTGAGAAATTTTAAAAAAGTGAAATAACACTTTTTGAATTTAGTGCGAAGTTTCGAGGGCAACAACTTCTGTTGGAAGATCGTGACAACAAAAAGGAATGGGAAACGATATCACAGGTGAAAATTGCGGTTTTTAGGAGAAATTTCTAAAATTTGAAAATAATAATTTTTAAAAAATTAGAATTGTTTTTTTCGAAATTTTTAAAAAATTAAAGTTTAACTAAATTCCCTGAATTGCACTCTATTTTCCACACGAGAAGCCTAAATTTACTCTTTCACAGCCCGAAAACTCAAGTTGCCGCGTTTTTGTTCTGCGGAGCGCTCTTGGGGCCAAGTTCACCAAGAAAACACTCCACTCCGTCATTAGCAGCAGATTGAGGACAAAAATCAATCCAAAGGGGGAAAAAGAGATCAGGTAACACATTTTTCAAAAAAAGATTATTTTAAAAAATCAAATTTTTAGTAAAATGCCACGGACCAGTCAGTAGCAGCTTCAGAACCGACATCAGTTCAAAGGAGGAAGAACATTTTCAAGATAAGGTAACAAATAATAAAAAATTTCAAAAAATTCAAATTTTCAGTGAATGCCACGGATCAAAGGATGTAGGATACTATCAACAGACAGATTTGGGAAACTCGTGAACTTGTCTTTTTCTTGCGCTTTTTTTCCTTCCTCCTTCCGCTGTCGTTTGTGGTTTCAGGTGTCAATCAGAGATGCGCGGACAGTCCGTTGTCCGGCCATTTTTAGGTTGTCCGCTGTCCGTTGAAATTTTTTCTGTCTGTTGAAGGTTCTTCTGTCCTTCCATTTACCAAAAAATTGTTGATTGAAAATTTCTGCCTGGGAAGGCAGATAAAACGGTGGATGAGCTCATTTTCCTTTTTCATCGTTAATTCGCTCCTGTCAATTACTTTTTTCGAAGATACACGCTCATTTTGAAAAATTTTGTCCGTTGTCCTTGTTTTCCTAGTTTTGGGTCGTCGGTTTTTCTCTGAAAGTCTAAAAAAGAAATTACAGATCTGGTTTTCAAAAACAGAGTTTGAAAGAATAAAGTTTAAAAATGATAAAATTAGAAAAATGTTCAAAAATAAATGATATTTCCTGGATTTTTTGGTTTTTTTGTTGTTGAAAATTCCCAAAATTTTAGGATTGAAATTCTGGATTACAGTAGTTTTATGAAATTTCGGATTACAGTAGTTTACAGTAGTCCCTAATTTCATAAAACTGCAGTAGTCCGAAAATTCATAAACTATTTTGTCAAACCTTGGATTGCTGTCGTTGTTGAAAATTGAGGGTTACAGTAGTTTCGTGATATTCGAGATTACTGTAACTTTGTGGAATTTCAGATTACTGTAGTTTGACGAAATTCTGTACTGTATTTTTGAAAATTGAGGAGTTACGGTATCTACTTGAAATTTTTGATTACTGTATGTTTTCAAAACACTGCTACCGGAAATTAAAAAATTGAGGAGTTAATGTAGTATGAAATTATGGATCACTGTAGTTTTAGAGATTGAAGGGTTACTGTAATTCCGTGGAATCCGAAATCTAGATTTTTTCAAAATTTAAGATTCCAGTTTTCGGATTTCATGATTTTTGTTTTTTAAATTTTTTGATTTCATGTTTTTGGATTTTTTGATTTAATTTTTACTATAATTAAACTATATTTTCTTATCATTTCCCAACCAATTTTCAGTTCCTTGAAATTATAAAAATGATCCTTTTTGACATTTTTGTTTTTTTTAATTTTCTTTTTTTTTTATAAAATTTTTTTTTCAGATTGTTTTCTAAAAATCATGGGACTTTAAGCTGAGGTTCTATCACAGATGATGTCAAAAAAGAAGTCGTCAAATGGTTAGATTACGAATCTAGATGAGGAGCTCACGACCGTTCAGCAAAAACAGAAAACACATTCCGAAATGAAATTGTATGGGCTTTCTAATGATTCACAACTTGGAGACGACTCCAGATAGTTCCCTAGCAATATAAATTGGTTTCTAAAAATGGCCCTCAACCTTAAACAAAAAAGGATTTGGCCGTGGTTTAAAAAAAGTGGGGATATGTAGTCTAAATCTCACCTTATCTTCTGCCCGTCCAATGAGCATTTTTGCATATCTCTTGTTCCGCCCAATTTCATCTACAGTCACTTTCCTCTTTCACGTTATTTACAATGCCTCATTTTGGGAGTCGATAGGACTAACAAAAAAATTAACAAGGAAAATTTGGAAATTGTTGCCAAAAATGTTTGCGACAAATGACAATTTTGAAGAGGACAACGATGGAATTAGTTATGAATTGCTTCCAATTGGGGAGTCAGAAGCTACATTTTGTTTATGAGTGAAAAGAGAAAGAAAGAGAGTAAACATTACATTTTTCAATTATTTCAGGAGACCAATTGGAAAAATGATTATGAGAAGAAATTTATGAGGAACTGAAGAAAACGGTTTTATATGGGAATGGAAGAAGAACTGGTTAATTTAGGTAGACAGTACCGGTCAATAAGATATACCGTAAAATCTGTATTAATATTGTGCCTCTATTTGAATTGCCCTTCTAATAGACATGCACCCCTTGAGGGCACTTGAAAAATATACTTGCAGCCTTTAATTGAATTGCCCCCGTAATACAATTGCATCTGCAGCAGTATTGCGGCTCCGCCGGGAGTACTGTACAATTTTTAGTCTGTGACACCGTGACGAACTATTGCACAGTTGTTTTTCGAAGGATTTCACAGGATGCGGATTAAAAAATGGAAAAAACGGCGAAGATGATGAGGTAATTCATTGTTTCAAGAAAGATGGAGAAATTCCAGAATGCGTACAGTTATTGAAGACAAGACGAGCAGAACGAGATATGGAAGAAATTCAGGAGATTTTGGGAGATATTGAAATTGAGGAAGACGATGGAGAAGTGAACCATGCCGAAGAAGAAGACAATAACTATGACAGTGACGCCTCGATTTTTTTTATTTTTATTTTTTTAATATGCGATACTTTTCTTATTGTTTTTTTCAATTTGTTACTTTTTTTGTTTATTTTCATAATAAAACTGTTTTATTTTCAAAATTTTAACCTCAAATTGTAGTTTGAAAAATAGAATTTCAGCCTCTATTTGAATTGCCCCTCTAATAGAGTTGCACCCCTTGAGGTGATTTGAACAATAGATTTGCATGCAATATTAATACAGATTTTACGGTATATATATATATGAAAATCTATTTTTCAGTTGAGCATTCTAAGAGTCTGGAGCGTGACTATCAAGTTTCCTATCACTGTGAAAATTTTGGAGGGTGTAAAACAGACCTAGATGAAAACTTTGCGTTCACATAAATTTTTTACATTTTCTAGTTTTTCAGCTATTTGCCAATAATTGGAAGACACATGTTATTTTCAGGTTTCCAGTACAAAAACGAGCCAAAAAGGGGTGTCTTTCAGAATTCGGAAAATAGTTGAAAAACTAGAAATTGTCGAAAAATTCTGTGAATGCAAATTTTTCCGTCTGTCTGTTTTATGACCTCCAAAGTTTTCAAACTGATCGGAAACTAGACAGCCGAGATCCAACCTCCTGAAAATGCCTAAAAATGACCGAAAATAAACTGAAACATACGTTTTTGTATATTTGATTGACTGGTACTATAGCTAGTGTACGAATATGTTTTTTACCCTAACTATAAGTATTAGGTTGGCGGGAAAGTCTTTGTCACTCTGTTTGTTTAATCACTGTTCTCGTATATGGAGGCTGTGTATGATATCGACTCTAGTGAATAACAAGGTGATAAGAACCTTCCATATAAACAAGTCCCCATCTCCTTCCCTGCTCCTCATCTGTAATTGAAACGATATGTTTGTTCCCACTGCTATTCACATCAGACATGTTTTGATTTACCTCTTCCTATCTCACACCACGATGAAGGATTCGGAAACTTTCTTGAAGAATGTGTACAACACACATGCCCCTCACTACAATACTATTCGCAATTGGTTCCATCGTTTCGAAAAAGATGACTCCTCGCTCGATGAAAAGGATCGCTCTGGGAGACCCCGTGAGTTGGATTTGGACAAGCTGAAGACGCATTGCAATCGGATCCATTTCAATCTAGCCGTGAACTAGCTGTCACATTCGGAGTTCACCATAGCACAGTCCTTGAAGGTTTGAAGTCTCTTGGAATGAGAAAACTTTTTGGTCGATTCATACCTCATCACCTGACTCAAGCCAACCTTGACCGCCGAGTCGACGATTCGATTACTCTTCTCACTCTCCACGCGGGCGATCAATGGCTGGACCGGCTAATAACCGGAGATGAGAAGTGGGTCTTCTACGATAATCACCACAGGAAATCCCAGTGGGTTGGAGAAGGAGAGAGCCCACAGGATGTCCCCAAACCCGACCTTCATCCGAAAAAAGTTATGCTCTCTGTGTGGTGGGGAGTGGACGGCCCCATCTACTGGGAACTTCTGCCCGAGGGCAAAACAATAACTGGAGACCTCTACACTACTCAACTACGAAACCTCAAGAAAGCAGTCGACCGTTCGGCCCTGAAAGACAAGAAAGTGTACTATCAACATGATAACGCTCGCCCACATGTTTCGAAACAAGTGAAGCAGGAGCTGATGGGATATGGATGGAATGTTCTCCCTCACCCCCCGTATTCTCCTGATCTTGCTCCTTCCGACTATTGGTTATTTGGCGATATGACACGTGCCTTCGAAGGAAGAAGCTTCAATTCCCGTGGAGCGGTCGAAGCGGCACTCAAACAATACTTTGCCTCACGCCCGGCTGGATTCTACCGCAATGGAATCCATAAATTGAGGGAACGTTGGAGACATGTTGTTGATAATGATGGACAATATAATTAATTATTCGGTTATTTTTTCTTTGAGAAATAAACTATTGAAAAAGTGACAAAGACTTTCCCGCCAACCTAATACCTGAAAATGTGCCACATTTTCAACAAAAAATTTCATAGATCTTCGTTTTTCAGATCTAAATAATTTTTTAGCGCGAGAGTCATGAGTACGAAAATTTGGGAAAATCAAGCAGAACATTTGATGGTTATTATTTCATATGTACCAGAAGCTATTTTGAGAATAATTTTCATAAATAGTTTCTGATCTACAAAAAAACTATGCTCCAGAATTTGCATCGTTATTGGTATCAATTATTTTGGAATCAAAGATCCAAAAGAAAAACATCCGAATAACAAAAAAGAAAGCCAAGTTTTAGGAATACCGTGTAGAACAAATACAATGTCATGTTTTTGGATTGAGATGCAAAAAACGAGAAAAAGAAGAGACAGACAGCGAACAGCTCAAATATTGACCTTTTATCTTTTATTTTTTGCGAGAAACCTCTATACTACCTGGTTTGAACTACTGACCGAGAAAAATAAATACTTCTGGGATGAGGGACTTTTAGAACTTAAAATTTTGAAAGATAAGGGAAAATGCCAAAGGGGACTATATCTGGAAGTATTGGAAATCTACAGTATACCGTGAAGGCTCTAACAGAAGCCCAGTGCATTTTCAGTTCAGTTATATCGCTTCCTATGAGAGATGTGAAAGTTTTATCCACTAATAAAATGTTTATTACAATACCAGCAAGCTGGTGCGCCTTCTGCGCAATTCAATCTAGCTTTTTACTGGTTCGAAGCTTACTAGGGAAGGTTGTGAACTTTTAGGTTAGAGTGTTAGGTTAGAGTTTCGGATCGAGACTTATATCATTCGAAAGCTGAGGACACGGCCTTTCCGAATCTGTTTTTTGTTTTTGCTGAGGACCTAAATAGGTTTCCAATTTGGGTCAAAAAAGGCTGGCATAATTTTTAATCAGATTCTCCTTGAAGCGGGGGGGGGGGGGGACAAGATCAATGAAAGTAACATCCATAAGCATCGATAATTGCTTGGCAACGCTCTGGTAATTTCTTGATTCCATTGGCCTAGAACGAAGATGTCTGAGATTGAAAAACTGGGCTAACTCCTTTTTTGTGTCATCTTTTCAATTGAAGTTTTTTCTATCAAGATGACGTTATAGAGTCCCAAACAAATAGTTTTCTGAAAGGGCAAGGTCCGTAAAATGCGACGGGTGCAAAAGAATAGTTCAGACAAACGATATGAATTTTTGGCTGATCCCTTTAGTCAGGGGTGGTCTCGCAGTGTCGCGCTGGGAGCGAGTTTTGGTTTTTTCCCCTCGTTTTGATTTGACTGTCAAATTCAACTTTTTTAATGCTTATGTCCACATTTAAATCCATATTGTAGTCCTTCGAAACATGGGGTATGAATCGACCTAGTTCTTGAAGTTGCCAAGAGACTCCGTTCACAATACTTAGTTGACTAACGGACAATGCTTTTGACATTTTACGAGTGGTTCGCAATAGATCTGCCCTCACTACTTTTAGCAATTGATCGAGATCCAACTCACTGGGCCGTTGGCATCTTTCAACCGGATCTCCCCTGTGCGAAATTGTTCCACACATATGTGGTTAGAGCGACTGATAATCGCGTAGCATCTATTGTGATTCAGGAGAAGACAATCAGTTTTGGAGTATGGGATATGACAGAAGAAGAGTTTTTGAAATTGATGGATTAATCGTTAATTTGAAACTTAAAAATTCCCATTTGAGTGATCACATTGTCCCAACATCCCTGCTATTTCCAAACAATTTTTATATTGTCTGTTATTCCTCCTACATTGCCCCGCCCATCTCAAAGCTTTGTTCTACCCTTAAACCCATACTTGCGACCGGGCCTTCGCGGGATCTGCCATAGTTTCTTTTATATATAATATTTTTGGACCAACTACATTAGATTTGATAGAACTCGACGAGTGCTACAAAGTGATATTATTTGGAGAACTGTATTATGTTCTATGAGCGAGGTTACAGACAAAAATAATGGCCGGCCCGGCCTGGGCCCACGCGACAAGGCCCCACCACTTTATGACTTGTGACTATGTTCATAGACAAGATGCCGTTCTTCAAACAGTATCATTTTGTAGAACTCGCAGAGTTCTATCATGTCTAAGTTAGTTGGTCTGAAAATATTGTTTCTGAAAGAAATTATGACAAGGCCCGCGAATGGTCTGGCTCAAAGGACAAAGAAGTACTTCAACATCTTTCGAAACTTTCCGTTGTCCGAGTCACTAGTTTTATCAATAGCAAAAAATTTATGTTTTTCTTTCCAAATTTCTGTAACCATCTCTAGAAATGTAGGCTTATCTACTTCACCACAGTGATCCCGATAGATAAATTCATTTCATCCTGTGATATAAACAATGAAAAAGTTGGCATTTTCCCTAATAATCTTCTTCTGTTCTTTTTTGGCCCTGAGCTTTTCTACTACTGCTCAATTCACTTTTTTTTCCAAAAACATATACATAAACAAATTCTTTTCATTTTCTCTACGTCTCGTGTACACTCTATATCTTTCCACTTTTTGATGTGATGATGTTGGATAAAGCAGGCCAAAATAGATTTCGGTGGAAAATGAAAAAAAGTGGAAAAGGTGAAAAACATTGGGGTATAATAAGCAGCAAAAAGTTGGAAGAAGTTCAAAAAAAATGGTTTCTCAAAATTTAATACCACTATTTTGAAGAGAAATTGAAAAATACACGGGCAGTACAGTATGTTGTACTAAAACAAATTTTTAAAAAATTATAAAAGTTATACACTTCAGAGAAATTATTTCGGATTTCCGGCACCTCAACCTTGCCTTCCGGTTTCAGCTGCAGTAATCGGATCGGATTCATCTGCGGAATCTCCAGAGTTTTCAATCAACGACCTCAGTGATGCTTCTTCTTGGCGACGACGATTCTCGAGAACTCTTTCGATTTTTTGGTCAATTTTTGAGTTACTGAAACTAATAGATTATCTATTTTGAGCTCAATTATTTCATTTCGTGTAAAAGGTCTCAAAATTTTGTCAACTAATAAAATGTTTGCCATAACACCATCAAAATCTTACCAGTTGGCAAATTGTTCTTAGCTACAGTAGTTTTTCAGAAATGTGTCTTTGAAGTTAGCACATCATTAGACGGTTAAAAATGCGCGCTAACTTTAAAAGCTCATATTTCAAAAATTACTGATAAATTACTGTAAACAAATAAAATCTTGGTGATATTATGATGAACAGTTTATCAGTTGACCAATTTTGACATCTTTTGAAGGGACAGAGATAATTGAGCTCAAAGTGCAAGTATAGGGTGGGCTTCTATTAGTGCAAATACAGTAGACATACTGTAAGTTTTTTGTTAGAAGGGTCCGTTTCAATAATTGTTTGCTTATTGGATTTCGAAACAAGAAAACAGAAATAAATTTGAAGCAAAAAAATTTGGAAAAATTAACAGTTCCCTCTAGTTAAAGGGGCAGTTCATACAAAAGTGGGCGTGGCTTAAAGTGGGCGGTACCGGTATAAAACCTGTTGATAAAGAAGGTTTTTTGACTTTTCAGTTGCTTTCTCAGTTTTGGAGGAAAAGTTACTGAATATGAGATTTCCTTGTGTTTGAGATACATTTGAATTAACCTGTCGTGTCGAGACCAATACTTTTTAAACTACAGTATACCCAACCGAGCGCATTTATGAAACGAAAACTCACTCAATTTTGACCTCATTTCCACTTGCATCAATATAATGAACCTTCCCATTTTCCACCCGTCTCTCATAGATATTTCCTTTCTTGTCACGAATTACGACAGGCGGTTGGTAGGGAATGAATCGGACGTGTCTGTAACTCTTTTCCTTGCCCAACGCCTACCCAACTACCCAGTAACTCACTCTTTCTTTGGAATAACTACATTTTTAGAATCATCGGAATCTTCCTCTCCTCCTGGAACCTTGAATTGCTTATTTTCTCCCTTATCGACTTTTATTTGTGTAGCAGAGGCATCCACTGGGTCTCCGCCGTTTACAAAATAGTTAGTTGATCCATCATCAGAATTGTGAGATCCGGAGTTCTGTCCTTCATAAACCACGTTGTTGTTGGCATCAGAAGAACTTCCAGAGCTGGCTGGTTGGAGGACGTACGCTGACTGCTCGTATTGATTCTGCGAGTTTGCCTGAAAACGAATAATTTCCGGCGGTTTCATGGATCTGAATTTCCGACTTCCAAGTCCCTGAACTTCTTAATTCGATTTTTTCTAGATTTTCAGGTTTCTTTTTTTTTGGGATTTCAGAATTTCGAAATTTCGAAATTTCAGAATTTTCGAATTTTAGAAATTTTTGAATTCCAGAAGTTTTGGACTTCCCAGAATTCAAGAATTTTCCGGATCCCAGAATATTTGAATTTTCAAAATTTTCAGAATTTTGGAAAATTGCCTTAAATTCCAAAACTTTCAAGCCAAAACACCTAAAATTCGAGAAAAATGGTATCATCATTCTTATTTCTCTGTCTATCGCTCTGGTTAAATTGCGCCGAAGACGCACCAGCCAGCTGTTTGAAGCGCCGGAAGCGCGGCAAACAGGCTGGTGACTCTGAAAGTCTAGTAGCCTGAATAGGCCTACCCTAAAAGTCCAAAATAAAAAAGTCCTAAATAATTTCAGAATTCTGGATTTCGGATTTCGAAACTTTTTGAATTTTCGAAAGTTTCCTGATTCTTAAAATTTCAGAATTTTGGAATTTGAGAATTTTCCGAATTTTCAAAATTTCCAGAATATTGGAATCACCTGGAATTCCAAAATTCTCGAGCCAAAACAACTAAAAATCGAGAATAGCCTGAAATCTCCTAAAATTCTAAATCCGTGCTCCTAAAATCCTAAAAATACGAGGCCTTCAAAAACTGAAAACGCTAAATTCCTACAGATTCAATCGGGTTAAAAGCCAAGGTTTTTAGATTCTTGATGCAAAAAATTCGAAATTATAAAAATAACTCCCCACCTCTGAGTTTCCATTGCCATTCCCACCGACAACACGGACACCACTTCCAATGCTTCCAGACTGGCCGAATTGATGTTCTCTTCCATTTTCGTTTTCTCTTCCATAACTTCCTTCATCATTCCTTCTATTACTTGCAAAATAATTTTCATATCCCTTTGGAATAATTCCTCGAATTCTATATTGATTTCTCAACCATTCTTCGTATCCTGGATGATTTCTGGGTGGTTGTTGTTGAGAATCGTAATATTGATAATTGTTGGAAATTTGATTGGAATTTCCAGAACTTCCAGAATTTCCAGAATTTCCAGAATCCTGTAGTTGTTGATTTCTGGCATATTGATCGTATTGATTGGATGCAGAGAATGGAATACGTCTTCCAGAAGAATCGTAAGCAGGACGGCTGGCGTCAACTTGAGAACTACTTGGACGTCCGTATTGCTGGAATTATAATTTTTTGGAATTTAAGAATTTCGGAATTTTCATATTTTTGAATTTTCGATTTTTAGAGCTTCGGAATTTTGGAATTTTCCTAACTTCTGGAATTTACGATTTTCAGAATTTCGAAACTTCGGAATTTCTAGAATTTTGTGATTTTGTGATTTTCATATTTTTTTTCTAGAATTTTCATAGATTCAGAATTTTCAGAACTCCTATAATTCCCAGAATTCCAGAATTTTCAAATTTAGGAACTTCGGAAATTTCAAAGTTTCGAAACTTTCAGTTTTTAAAATTATAGAATTTTAGAATTTTCATAGTTTTAGATTTACGGAATTTCAGAATTTTTTTGGAATTTCTGATTTTAAGAATTCAGGAATTTCAGAATTTTAAGCTTCTGATAGTGAGCAAATCCAAGTTTTCGAATTTTCGCAAAAAATTTTTTTGGAATTTCCAAATTTTCTCGAAAAAAAACTTATGTTGCATTTTTTGGAATTTGATATATTCTTGGACAGCTTCTGGGCGAATCCGAGTTTTCGAATTTTCCGGAATTTCAGATTTTTTGGAATTTCGGACCTTTTTGAAATTTTTGCAAAAAGTTTCCCGATATATTTTGAAATTTCGAAAATTTTGAATGGAATTAAGAATTTTGTTGAACTTGGAATTTTAAACATTTTTCGCAATTCCAGAAAACTAAAAATTCGGAAATGTTCGATTGTCTCAGACATCCGGCCAAACCGACACACAGACTTACATCATAATAAGGATACATTCTCCAATTGAGAATTCTCTCCTCATGATGTGGATCTTTGTAAATGTCCAAATCCTCTCGCCGTTTTGGTTCCGTTACAATATTCAATGGAATTCGGGTCTGAAAACTCTACAATCGATTGTTCTGATTTTTTTTAGGTTGCTGGGGATAGAAAAGCCAAGCACACAACAAGCGGAATTCATTTATTGCTTCATAGAAAACTGTTGATTACAAAAAAGCATTCGTCATTTAGAAATTTACAAAACTGGGGTCATTTGAATTCAGCAATCGGGGGATGGGAGTCTTTTCTGGGAAAAGTAAAACGGGTTCTGTGCAATTTATGGGAAAGAGAATTGGGATTCTATTGAGAAGAAGAAGAAATTGAGTGTACAAGATGGTGTCAATGGCCGCTCCGGGCGACTTGCAATTTGGATTTTTGAAAAGCTAGAAATTGGTGAAGGTGTAGGGGATAGAGTGCGGTGAAGAAGGATAATTTAATGAAGCTGACGGGGGTGACGGTAAGCGGCACGTACATCTTGTGGTTGTTGCTGGTTCTTCTTTCTTAATAACCACACTTTTCTGTGGAAATCCGAGGGCTCTTCGACCTGAAACTCCGTTTGGTTCAACATTTTCCCATTGATATGTTACCTGAACTTTTTCCTCGTTCGAGACAGAAACCCCGTTGAATTTCTTGTTCTTGGCATCGGCATCACCGAAGATCACTTCATCTCCATTCACCTCGTACTTTCCAATCTTATGTCTGTGGAATCCGAGGACATCTCGGTTGCGGTAGTGCTCACCTTGTACCCACTCGAATGGAATTGGCTGGTGTGGGTTGTAGCGAGAGCGGCTGAGAACACGGAATCCTCCGCAGACCTCGACGACTTCCTTCTCGGACCCGACGAACCATCCACACACTTTGCCATCTGGCTTGATGAAGGCGTGACCGAAGGCTTCATAGTGGACGTTCTCTCCGTATTTGGAGCGAGTGATCCTGGAAAATTAATGGTGAGTATTGAGGTACTTGGAATTGCATGCTGTTGGTGGGTTAGTGTTTATTCTAATAGAAGACCACCCAAATCGTCAACTTTTAGTTTAATTATCTCAATTACTATAAGAGATAACAACATTGTCAACAGATAAAATGTTTTTCACAATATCTCAAATATTTAATCAGTTGACAGATTTTTGATATCTCTTAAAGGAACCAAGATAATTGAGCTCAAAGCGCACAAATAGGGTGGGTTTCTATTAGAGTTCATATTCCACGCGTGAGTAGAAAGATCAGACTTTGGTTTCAGTTAGAATAACGATTGCTGCTGGAGCAAGCTCCAGAAATAGAAAATTCTGTGAATGAGTGAATTACATGCAAGTTAATATATATTAGAAAAACACACATGAAACTAACGGATCGGCGTTCTCGAACATATCCCTATAAGATTGTTTCCATTCGTCTGGTTGTTGGAAATTTTAAAGACGCATACGGTATGCAGCATACCGTCTCTACAGAACCATAGCTTACCAATAACCGACGAACGAGTTTCTCTGACGATGTCCATTGTTCTCGGATTCTGGGAACACCAAGAAGTCGTCAGTAGTGCGGCCATCTCTCAAAGCTCCATCGAATCCGACGGTTGTCCAATACTCTTCTTGGATCTGAGAATCCAATCCTCGACAACCTCCACGAGTCACGAAGCCGTCGCCCTGAAGCAGGAAAACTGATCATTAGGTATCTGGATAAAAATTAAAGAATCAACTTACACCCCGCATCTCCATATAACGCCCTCGGCATTTGGCTCCTTCCGATGGGATGGCTAGAAGTACGAGATGAGAATGGGGATGAGTCTCCTCATGATTTCTGAAAGTTTGTTCTTGGTTTTTGAAGCTAATGGAGAAATGAGTTCGAAAAATAAACATAACTAAGAAACTAAAAGCTGTAGAAGCTCCGCCTATGAACCTAAAATTCAATAGAATAGAGACAAGAGTTCGAAGCACTAAATATCTAGAAGCTCCGCCTACCAACTACGGAAAAATAACAACGCCTGGCTCAAATTACTTTGCTTTTATGTGTTATGAAATTAGATGCGATCATCATTCTCATGATCATGGAAGTGGGCGAGTCGGAGAAGATTGCCTAACATTTAAACTAAACGCTTCTCGGCGCTCCGTTCTCTTTTTCTTGCCGCGTCCGCCGGCAGAGCTCCCGATCCCAGAGAAGAGGAAAACTCATAAATTACCCTCAATCTTCCTCTCGCTTCGTACTTTTTACACTTTCTCCAGGATCATTTTCTCATGGGTCATGAATTCTCATCCCCAAGAGATATGTGTCTACTATACTGACTGTCATGTATCATATGTGCCGAGGAGAATGGGGGTGTTGAAAAGAGAACAAAAAAGGCACAAAGAAAGGAAATTTTGGCGGGAAGTAGAAAGAAAGAAAAAAAGCGGCGAAAAAAATATGGAAATATAAAAGTTTAGGTTGCTTATCTATATTCGAGAAGTTTTTGTGTGTTTTCTTTCTTTCACTCGATTTGGGCGCGTCAAAGGAGAGGAGGAATTGATTAGGAACGAAAAAAAGTTGACAAAGAGGGAGAGAAAATGATAATGGCATTTGCGGAATTTCGATGATGACGGGAAAGATGGAAAGAGATGCTGACTCAAATATTAATTTCAGGATTAGTCACTTTCAAGGTTGCGAAGTATGAAGAAAACGAGGATTACGGTAGTTTCTAGAAACAAAATTGTAAGGACTGAAAAGGACTGAAAAAAATCTGAAAATTCCAGAAAAAAAGTAATCAAAAATTGGCTGAAATTCGGTAAAAAATGAGCTTAAAAACTCATGCAAAATTGCTGAAAATAGCTGAAAATGAAACAGTTTTAATCTCACTTTTTCCAAAAATACGATTTTTGCCGATTCTGCAATTTTTGACCAATCGGAGCTCCTCGGAGCCAATACGATGTTCTGATAACTTTGCAGCAGCGGTGAGGAAGTTTATCGAATAACATGAATTTCAGTTTCTATGAGAAAAGGATCAGGTATCACGAACGGCAGGACGTAATTCGAAACGTTTTGAGTTCAGAAGCGGCTTCAATGAAACAAAAAATAGTTATTTTTTGAGAACTTTACAGAACGCTCAAGCTATCTGTCACCCCTATTATATAGGGGGAACGATGCCAAATTTTTTTTTGTTTTATTAAAAATGACACCAGATGTCTCAAAGAATCTATACATTCTGACGAAAGTAGAGAATGAGCAGCTTTAAAGGGGGACTCCGGTCAATTTTTTTATTGCATCAAAATGTGTTAAAATTTATCTATTTTCAGAATATTATTGCGAAAAAATTCGAAAAAAATCCGAAATTCCCAAAAAACGCCGTTGAAAATGAAAAAAATTCAAAAAAGGTGCCGCCGAGGGACGAGGATTTTCAGTGAGAAACCTAGGCCACGCGAGCGGCGCGACTTTCTTACCAGACAATTTTTCCGGATTTTTCTCGCTTTTATCTCCAACAGGTAAAAAACGTTAAAAAACACTGTCGGCCACTTGAAAATAATGCTCTCAGGCGCCGTAGCCTAGGTTTCTCACTGCGCGGGAATTCAAATCCTCGTCCCTCGGCGGCACCTTTTTTGAATTTTTTTCATTTTCAACGGCGTTTTTCGAAGATTTCGGATTTCTTTGCAATAATATTAGGAAAATAGATAACTTTTAACACATTTTAATGCAATAACAATTTTTGGTCGGAGTCCCCCTTTAAACAGCACATTTTTGAAATTTCTTTTTTTGAATTTCTGCATTTTTTACTCCTCCAAAGTTACTCATCATCGGTTGACACCACACCCATGCAAACACAGTTTGCACTATTTTTACTAGACCAAATGATGACATGGAAACGTGAGAAAGTTCCAACGAAACCAGGTGAAAATGTCACATGAAGCTGAAAGCTGTAGGAAGAAAATGTTGAAATTATTGAGGCGTTCTGATAAGAAGAAGAGTAAGGAGAATGGGAAAAAAAACGACAGATGGCGGATTATTTCGATTTGTTCCGGAATGATAGAAACGGGTTGTAGCTGAGAATGTAGACTATAAATCCCCCTCAAAGACTATAAATCTGGGACTCCCTTTAAACAAAAATTAACGACAAATTCGAGTCCTGCAACTATCTTTTGTATTTAAGACACCCAAAATTAATTGTGCAATAAATAAATGATTCCGAAAATTCCAGTCCAATAAAACTATATTCACTCTGCTTCTTCCGATCAAAACTCAATGAGAGTAAATAGAAGGCTTCCCATTTTTCCTACTGATAAAAATTGGGTTTATTACTCTATTTTCGAAAACTAGAGGAGCATTCTGACATGAAATTGATATGAAAAATGCTTAATCAAACACAATTTAGTGCTCGTGTCGACAAATTTGTAGTGGCGGAGAAAGCATTGGAAAAAACGCTGACAGACAAGGCTTTCAATTCATTGCAGATCAGATGCGGACTTGCTTCTTTTTTGAATTCAATATAGAAGAAATATGAATCTACTAGAGCCACGAAATAAGTGAATACCGGAAAACGGTTTATTATGGGAATATGCCTCTTAACAAACTGGGACAATGTGTCATTGAAAACAGATAGGGGAAAATAAAAGAGCGTGCATAAAAGGGGGATATACAATTTGTACTATGTACATATGTACAAGGAAATTATATTTTAGATCTCGGCATCGATCTGCTGGGCTCCGAGTCCGGCGTCTCCGAGTTGGTCAATCTTCGAGAGGGCAGCCTCTTCATCGATGATCTTGGAGCATGCTTTGGAATCCGGAGAGCCAACAGCAGATTCTGAAGACTCGGTGACCGCAGAAGAATCAGCTGCATCGCCAGTTTTCTTCTGAGCCTTTGGCTTGCGATTTTTGTTCTTGCGCTGCTTTCTTGGCTTCTCGTCTTTCTCAGTCGATGCCTTTGTTTCTTCAGGTTTGACTTCAGCGTTGTCCGATTCCTCTCCGTCGACGGATGCTCTTGGCTTGCGATTTTTACGGAAGCGAGAGAGCAGCTTGTGGCGGTATCTGTAAACAGTTTGTGAGACCAGATCCACATAATCGAAATAACCTCGATCCTGTAACGTTTCCTCCGTCTGGGCCGGTGACGTTGGCAGCTTCTGGGCCATTCTTTCCTTCAACGAGGTCGAAAACGATGTCCTCCTCGTCGGCGAGCGTGCGGAGGTAGAATTTCTCGGTGTCAGACTTGGCAATGGCGGTCTGGTGAACGAAGATGTCCTTCTCCCCGTCGTTGCGAGAAATGAATCCGTAACGACGAAGAACCGAGTACCATTTGACTTTTCCTTGAAGTCCAGTGGAGAGCACACGCTTCGCTTTCTGCTCCTCCTCCCAAAGACGGATGCGTTCGGCAGTTGGAATGCGCTGAAAGGAAATTGAGTGATAATCGAAAGACGTCATCCGAAGCTTACCGGCTTGCGTGGCGACTTCTCTTCCTGGTTGCTTGGAGAGCTCTTCTCATCAATTGAGAGAGCTTCAAGAGCCTCTTTGGCGACTTCGACGTTGGCGTTATCCGACATGATTTGGCGCGGGATGAACTGAAAGTGGAAGTGGACTATAACAATTGGCACCACAGATGCGATTTTGTACACGATAGGACACAAAAATAGGAAAAAAAGCCGGAAATAACGAGACAAACGAAAGCACGAAAATAGGGAAAAATGAATTCGAGAAGGGAAACATTTCAAAAGGAGGAAAATGCCGCCCTAAAATCTACAGTACACTTCACATGCACATCTAACCAAGCGAGCGGCAATTCAAATGTGAGATAATACAAGATTTGTAAAAATGCATGACAGACAACAAACGAAAACTCCGAGACTACCTTCCATTTTGGAACTTAAAACATACATTTGCAGAAACTGTTCGGCCGAACAAGTGCCTGCCATCTGTAATTCGTTGTAATGACTGAAATGTTGTAATGCAAATGAAAATTTCAATGAATTCCCTAGAAAATTATAGCAATCTTAGGTCGCATGGAATTAGCACGAAGTGCGAAACAAATTTTAGGCGAGAACAGTGCAAAAAACATTTTTCGAGCTATTATCCTTGTCAGAGAAAAAAAAGGTTGAGTCGAAGTGTATGCGATGTTTGTAAACAAATATCTGAAAGCGTAAACAACCGGAAACAGTTGAAACGAGTGCGACAGTAACCCGGCGGGAAAATGTTAAATTTACCTATTT